CTTAAACTTATATACCACTTCACAGTACTAGATTGCTCCCGGTTCTCAAGAACTGGTAGTAAAAATTCGTAGTAGTTCGGAGAACCGGTAATAACATTGGCTGGCCACGCCCCCGAACCGGTCCCCAGCCAGGTCGCCACTCGCTTACCCCGCCCACCTCATCAGAGGCTTTCTTTTTTTTTTTTTAACTTATAAAAGCATTTTTTCTACAACCTCTTCGGCCAAAAAAATGCTTTTAAAAGTAAAAAAAAAAAGCCTCTAATGATTGGGCGGCTCAGCTGGGATCGTCAGAGGCTTCTGAAAGCATTTTTTTTGCAACCTCTTCAGCTGAAGAGGTTGTAGAAAAAAAATGCCTTTAAAAGCCTCCGGCAATCCCAGCTGAGTTGCCTGATCGTCAGAGGCTCCTAAAAGCATTTTTTTTCTGCAACCTCTTAAGGTTGTAAAAAGTTAAAAAAAAAAAAGTTGGCCATGCCCACCCAGTCACATTACCCCCCACCAAGCCATGCCCACAAAAAAAGCCACGCCCACAGAACCGGTAGTAAAAAAATTTAAAATCCACACCTGTTTACAACCCTCTCTAAGCGGTTTACAAAGTCAGCATATTGCCTCCAACAATTTGGGTCCTCATTTTACCCACCTCGGAAGGATGGAAGCAGTGGTGGGATTCTGCCGGTTCTAGGGGGTTTGGCCAAACCCTTTGTAAAATTGCTGGCTCGCACCGCCCCTCCGCACCACTATTTATTGCCAATAAATAGTGGTGGGCAAGGGGCGGGCGAGCCAGCAATTTAACAAACTGTTCGGTGTTTTTTTGTAATTTTATTGGCCCGTGGAGCTTCAGCATAGGCTAATTAGCCCTTGCTTAGATCAGCTCCCGACTCTCAGCTGATTTGCTCTCAGCTGTTTTGCTCAGGGCTCTGCTGCTTGCTTGCAAAGAGTGCTGATTTTTTTTCCCCTAGCTAAGCTGAAAAATGAAACTGAAAGTAAAGCAGGCTGTTGGCTTTGCTGTTGCTGCAAAGTTAGAAAATTAGGCAGGCAGATTTCTTTTCTTTTTCCTCACCAAAAAACATAGGTGCAAACAATGGGAAATTTAGGGGAAAAGAGGAGAGTTCAAGATTTTAAAACACAAAAGAAAAAAAGCTCTATTTAACTAGGGAATTGTAATAATTGAGATACTATTAATTGTATATTGTGTTGAAAGCAGAAATGGTTAAGTTGTGGTTTGGAGGAATATATGGGGGAAATTATTTGGTTTATTATTATTGGTAAATATAATTAATTGATTTGTAAGAAATTGGATTGCATGGAAATAATTGGAATATTCATGTTCATATTGATTAATATACAAAAAAGGTAGTTATATAACTAATTGATTTATATTAAAATGTTGAATTTATATTAAACAACTGTAATATTACATAATTAACCAATGTGAGATGGATATAAAAATAGATGACAATGGGAAGGGGTATAATATAGAATAGAAGGGAAAAATTGAATTTGATTAAAATTAGAGATGAAGATGAAGGGTAATATTGGTTTTTTACAAAAATAGATGAGGAATAAATATGGCAAAAAGGAAATATAGAAATTGTAAATTTAATTGAAATGACTAAACACTGTTTAAATTTGTGAACCGGCCAAATATTCTGTTCAAAGAAAATACATTGTATGTTTGTATGTGTTTTTCTAATTATTGTTATTTATTCATATTTGTTCTCTTTTATTCTTTAAAGTTTAACAATTCATTCTTTATCTTAATATCTTTATATTTGTTTGGGGTTGGCTTTATTCCCTTTCATCTTTTTTATTGTATAGCAATCTTTCTCCTTAAACCTACCACCTCTCTCTTTTCTTTCCTTCTTACTTTCTCTTCCTCCCCTTCTTCTTCTCCTCCCTACGTCCTGTTCCTTTCTCCTTCTCCTCCTCTCTTCCTCCCTCTCTTACCCTCACTCCTACTCTAATTTCCCTTCCCTTCCTTCATCCCTCTCTATTGCTGTATCCTTTTATGCATATGGACTACTCAGAGGGCTGAAAAAGTTATTTTTGGCTGGTCCTCACACTTTTGACCAGTCCTCGAACTTACGACTGTCCTCACATTTTACGTTTTTGCCCTATCTTGTCACCATGGTGAAGAGAAGCAGTTGTGAAATGAGTGACACGGTTGTTAAGAATGCCGCAATGGGCATAAATGTGAGGATGGTCATAAGTGCGAGGACCGATCAAAAGTGCGAGGATCAGTCAGAAATGACTTTTTTCAGCCCTCTGTAGTCCCTATGCAGATAGCCACGCCCACCGGTCACATGACCAGCTAGCCACGCCCACCCGGTCACATGACTACCAAGCCACACCCCCAACTAAGCCACGCCCACAGAACTGGTTGTTAAAAAAATTGAATCCCATCACTGGATGGAAGGCTGAGTCAACCTTGAGCCTGTTAAGATTTGAACTGCCAAATTGCAGGCAGCCAGCAGTCAGCAGAAGTAGCCTGCAGTATTGCACTCTAGCCAATGCGCCACTGCGGCTCATAATTATCTCTTTGATCAAAGAAGAAAGACAAGATGACACTCAGGGCATGCATTCATCAATGACTACATTTGAGAATGTCATAATAGATTATTTGTTTTGAAACAAGCATCTACAACTAAGAGGACATGGGGAATTCCATAATTTCATAATGTCTAAGCAGCTGAAACATGAATGATAAGCTAAAAAAATGAAAAAGACCCACTTTAAAAATGAAATAAACCAGAGTATTCATTTACATATTGTCCATATTCATATTAAAATGCAACATTTTCATAAGATTTACCACAAAGAGACATGTACAAGGCATTAATGAGTCCCTTCTGGGAGAAGGGCGGTATACAAATTAAATAAATAAATAAATAAATAAAAATTAATGGAGTATGCCTAGGATTATAAACATGCATGGGATTGTTCATACAAGTTGAACAGTTTTCTTTTCCAATTTTCTTCTATAAGACATTTTGGGTTATGCCTATACTAAGGCACAGCTAATATTCCAATACATACACAGCTATCACACTATTTCCTGGGGCAGTAACCAACATTATACAAAGTACCATTAAGGAATAAGAATTATTAAGCAAAAGAAGTTAAAAGCATAACATAGGATAAAAGAAAAGGAAATACAGGTAAAACTATTTTCGTGTGTGTCCGTATGCACGCACACGAGTGTGTATGTGTACCTTGAATCAGTCTTGCACCCACACTATGTGCCATATTTATTCCTTGTCTATTTTTTTAAAAAAACCAATATTACCCTTCATCCTCATCTCTAATCTTAATCAAATTCAATTTTTCCCTTCTATTCTATATTATACCCCTTCCCATTGTCTATTTTTATATCCATCCTCACATTGGTTAATTATGTAATATTACAATTGTTTAATACAAATTCAACATTTTAATATAAATCGGTTAGTTATATAACTATCTTTTTTTGTATATTAATCAATATGAACATGAATATTCCAATTATTTCCATGCAATCCAATTTCTTACAAATCAATTAATTATATTTACCAATAATAATAAACCAAATAATTTTCCCCTCTTATGTTACTCATTTTCACATCTTAAACTCTCCCAATATCCCACATAGTTTGCCCATATAATCCTCCAAATCACAACTTAATCATTTCTACTTTCATCACAATATATAATTAAAAATATTTCAATCATTACAATTTCCCTAATTAAATTTAAAAATGTTCTAGCTGTTATCCAAGCTATAATTTAATCCTTTTTACTTTCACCACCATATACCATTAAAGGTATTTCAATTGTTACAGTTTATACTGTAAAAAAAATAAAAAAAGAAAAATTTATCTTTGTCTAGATTTCAAAAATACAAAAACAAATATTCCAATTATTATTCATTTCATTTTTACAATCATGATTTCTCATTTATTTCTTACTACTATTCATATTTCAATTCTAAATATGTATAACATTTTTCTCTTTCATTTCTTTTTTTCCCTTCCCATTTTTATTTTTGCCTTTTTCTTTCTCCTTTTTTCCTTTTGTGTTTAAAATCTTGAACTCTCCTTTTTTGCCCTAAATTTCCCATTGTTTGCACCGACCTTTTCTGGTGAGGAAAAAGAAGAAAAAGAAATCTCCCTCTGCCTCTGCCTAATTTTGCCTCATTGCAGCAAACAGCAAACAGCCTGCTTTACTTTCAGTTTCGTTTTCAGCATAGCTTGATTAGCACAAGGAAAAAAATCTGCTCCAATTTACCTCTTTGCAGCAAGCAGCAGAGCCCTGCGCAAAACAGCTGAGAGGAAATCAGGCCGATCTAATCAACTTGTGCTAATTAGTCTATGCTGAAGCTGAAAGGAGCTGTTTTTTCTTGCTGTTTGCTTGCTGCGAGGCACAGGCCAAAGGGCGGGGGCCAGTGGGTGGGGAGGGCTACATTTGGTGTATAAGACACACCTAAATTTTCACCCCCTTTTAGGGCGGGAAAAAGGTGCGTTTTATACTCCGAAAAATACGGTAAGTGGCCTAGTTTTGATGGGGTTGAAAAACTTTGAGTTGATGGAACAAAACAATATAATTGGTACCAAATGCTAGCATGTATACTGAGTGAAAACAACACTATAATTTCCTAGAATCCTATCTTGAAATGTCTGTATTCCCTTATCTACAGTGATACAAAACTCAGGCTTTTTGGAATAAAATGCTGCAAAATTGGTACAAAACTATGTTAAATGTAGCAGTTAGAAGTTAAGACGGCTATTTTTATCTAACTCAGTTCAAAGACAGAAAAAGAGTTATTCATTTCTACCCAACTGGTCCTAAGTAAACTATAATATCTATCTAACCTTATAGATTTCATATGGATATGATTTGTTCCTGAAGCTGGGACTCTTCATTTTCCACAATAGAATATAATTGCTGTGAACTCTTCTACTATTGTTTACTGTGTTGAAACAATCAAACAAATATTAAAAAATTTAATAAAACAAAATAAAACCTACCATTTTTCTCTTATCTTCTTGGAAATGTAGTTCTACAAATATTTTGCCAACAACATATGGGAGAGCATTTTCTATGAAGTTTACACATTTATCCCATTGAGGCACTAAAGATGCTGTTCCCTGGATTACCTGTTTGAGTTAAAATTGATATATTATGGTAAATTCTGGTATAGCCTTTTCTGTAGCTGTACAGAGCAACCCTACCCTCCTTGTCTTCTTAAAGGCCATTAAGACCTGGTTTTTCCCCATAAGCATTGGACCAAGGTGGGAGGTAAGCCTGGCATTTATGTTTTTGTGATGGAAACATTACAGCACTTGGTGTTATGTAAGAATTCTTTTAAATTTTCTGTGTTCTGTTAATTGTTAGCCATTGAGAGTGATTTTATATAATATAGTTGGCCGTATAAATTTTTCAAATAACAAAAAAACTCTAAAGTTTTCTTTTAAAAAAATTGTTGTCAGGATCCAAATCCCAAAGACATGGGAAAGGTTAGAAGTTCAATATGCATTGACTTCTACAAAAGCTTTTGGTTCAGGTGGGCTATATCAAATTACAGTAGTTCATGAAATATGGATATCAAATGCTGTTATTGATCTTATAGGCATGGATAACAGGGATATTGATGTCTCATACTTACCCTTGAAAATTCTAGCCACCTATACTGAAACCGTCGACTGAGGTTGAATATTCTTGAATAAACCATTCTCCATACCAGATAGTTGGCAATAGTCCTGTAATACATACAAATGAAGACCAGTTAGATCTATGTGTTCCAATGTACAGCCAATAATAGAAATATACGTAAATATTTTTTAAATTTCTTATTCACTGCAATATCAACTTACTTAGAAATTAATTCTACATTACAGTAGAATGAAGAGACTGCATCATAATTGCCATAATGTAAATAAGTGAGGACATTTTCTTTTTGAATATCCTGATTTAGGATTTAGTCTTAAAGGTCTAACAATTCTGTGGGGTGGGTTGAGACAAGAAAGAGTCACTGGTGCAGTCACCCAGCCTCCCTTTTAATAACTTTTATAGCATTCATTAGTATAGTTTTAATTAATTAATCATAATTTAAAAATTGTCACTAAAAAATTAAATAAGCATCTTGAATGTTTTAGCTGCTAGAGCTTCAGAAAGGCTTATAAATCAATTTCTTAATGGCATGTTGCATACTGGAGCTAAATATATAATTCCAAGGAATATAGTAAGAATATTGTTTATTGGGAAAGATGTTGCTCTGCTCTTCCAGTGTAACCTGCATTATTCTGGATAGTTAATAGTTGATAGTTGATCAATGCAATCACAAGATCAATATAAACCTTAAAAAATAAATTTGATAAAATAGAAATATAGTGCCTCTGCTGTTTGTATCTAATGCTACAACATCTGCAGCATTTTAGGTATACTATGAATAATTACATGCCAGATCATTTTAAGGCTAAATGTCTTAAGCTATATAAAGGATGTTAAGTAATTAAACATTGCGAATAGGCAAACATTTTTAAAAGCTTAGTCTGAAAGAATAGAATACTTTGAGACATATTTTGATCTTTGACTTCTTCATAAATCTTCATAAATGACTTAGATGAGGGAATAGAAGGGAAACTCATCAAATTTGCAGATGTCACTAAATTAACAGGAATAACCAACACCCCAGAAGACAAGCTCAGGATCCAAAAAGATCATGATGGACTTGAACAATGGGCCCTATCCAACAAAATGAAATTTAATGTGGAGAAAAGCAAGGTTTTACACCTGGGCAGGAATGTGCAGCAGCAGCCAAAAAAGCTAATACAATCCTTGGTTGTATAAATAGAGGCATAAAATCACACTTTATAAAGCCTTAGTAAGACCACACCTGGAATACTGCATCCAGTTTTGGTCACATTACAAAAAAAGATGTTGAGACTTTGAAAAAAGTGCAAAGAAGAGCAACTAAGATGATGAAAGGCCTGGAGATTAAAACATGAAAAACGGTTGTATTATGTATCTAGTTTTGGCGGGAGATTTAGACAACAATAGGTCACTTGTGATTGGTCAGCTGCCCGGCTGCCCGGGTATATAAGGAGGGCTGTTTGCCTGTAACTTTTGCTGAAGTCTCACTGTACATTAAAGACCTGTTGTCACTACTTTGCTTCTGCCTCCTCAATCGCCCAACTCAACATTGGCGACGAAGGTGGGATTGAGGCACTGAGAAGCAAGCCGAAAAAGAACTACCTACAGTGGATTCAGCCAGGCTGACGAGCCATACACAACAGGACTACGATGTCTGTCTTCGTACCGCCAAAGCCTTTCGACCCGGACAGAGAGAAGTGGGGGTCGTACATGATCCGATTCGAGTGCGCCCTGGAAGCCAGCAACATGCAGGGCCACCCGGAAACCGAAAGAGGGCCCTGTTCCTGAGCCACTGCGGGCCGGAGGTCTTTGACACGGTGGAGTCACTCTTGGAGCCGACACTGATCCAGACCATCTCATGGGAAGTGCTACAAGCCATGCTCATTGAAGTTTGTGCAGCGCTATGAGCTCCGGCAACGAGTACAGCATGAAGGAGAGCTGATCAGCGCGTACATGGCCGCCCTGCGTAAGGCTGTGACGCATTGCGAATACCGGGATTAGAGCAACTAATCTGTGGAGTGCGAGATATACGCTTACAGAGAAGGTTGCTCACGAGACAGAATCTGACTCTACCCATCGCTTTCAACGAGGCCAGGGCACATGAGTCATCGACCAAGGCTGCGGAGACACTGCTAACTCGAAGGAAACCCCGAGGTCGGCGCCAGTGCACCGAGAATCCACCCAGACCAGCAGTGAGGAAGAGTCAGAGGAGGACGTCTTCCAAATGGAGAGACAAACACGGAAGCAGACAGAGCGACGAGGAAGCTGCTCGAGCTGCGGAGGAGCACAACAGAGGCAAGCCTGTAAATTCAGGGATGCCATCTGCAGGCGTTGCAAGAAGAAGGGGCATCTGGCGAGAGTCTGCAGGGCAAGCCTACCAGTCAACCACAAGCCTCGGAATAACTTCAACCAATCAGAGCCGGCGTGGCACAAGCAGGCCAGTAAAGATGGCGACCAGAGGAAACGGCATGAATTTCAAAGCCACGAGACCTGCAGCACCTTGATTGGCCAGGCCAGCACAACCATCGAGAAAAAAGTCCACACAATGGTCGAGATCGAAGGACAACCCTGCAAGATGGAGATCGACACCGGGTCATCCCTGTCCATCATGTCCTGGGCTACCCTGAAGGCTGCCCTTCCCAACATCAAGAAGAGCCGGCTCCAGGTCCAACGAATCTGGCTGCGAGACTACCAGGGAAACAACATCCCTGTGGCTGGGGTGGGCACGTTCCAGGTCACCTATGGTGAGTACCGGAAGGAGCTACCCCTCACCGTGGTCAGCGAGACACTACCGAGCCTCCTAGGGCTGGACTGGTTCAAGGCCCTAGGAATGGATTCCTGTGGCAGCACCCTGAAGGACAACCTCACGCAGGAGTTCCAGGACATCTTTGACGACCGGCTGGGCAAGTAAGTGGGGACCCCTATTTCCTTTAACCTAGACCCCAACGTAGCTCCGATCAGACTGAAAGCTAGGCGAGTGCCTTTTGCACTCAAACTCAAAATTGACTTGGAATTGGATAAGCTAATCAAGCAAGGGGTGTTAGTCCCAGTAGACCACGCTAAATGGAGACCCCAATAGTGACCCCGGTCAAATCAGATGGGTCTGTGCGCATCTGCGCAGACTACAAATGTACCTTAAATAAGGCCCTTCAGCAGAGTGCATACCCTGTCACGATTTTTTTTTAAATTTGATTTATATGCCGCCCTTCTCTGGAGACTCAGGGCGGCTTACAATGCATTAAGCAATAGCCTTCATACTTTTCTATATTTATACAAAGTCATCTTATTGCCCCCACAAACTGGGTCCTCAATTTACCTACCTTAGAAAGGATGGAAGGCTGAGTCAGCCTTGAGCCTGGGGAGATTCAAACTTGCAGTAATTGCAGGCAGCTGAATGTTAATAACAAGCTATTAGTCTGTTGCGCCACCAGGCTCTGGTGCATCATCTGCTCCATTCGCTGGGCCCTGGCAAGATCTTTGTGAAACTCAAACGGTTTCGCGCTACCACGGAAACACAGACTATAGTCACCCACAGAGGTGCATTCAAGTGCACCAGACTCCAATTCGGAGTCAGCATAGCCCCCAGACTGTTTCAAAGTACCATGGAGCATCTTTTACAAGGACTGCCAGGGGTGGTGCCCTACTTTGATGATGTACTCATTAGCGCAACAGATGAGAAACAGCTAGGGGACAGACTAAGGCGGGTGTTGGCCAAATTCGGGGAGGCTGGACTGCGTGTAAAATGGACTAAGTGAATGATCGCAGTCCCCTCGGTGGAATTCTTGGGGTACCAGGTGGACGGATCGGGAATACACCCCACCGAGAGCAAAATAAGGGCCATGCAGAACGTGCCCACACCAAAAAACAAAGCGGAGCTACAGGCTTTCTTGGGTCTCCTCAACTTTTACGCCATATTCCTAAGAGACAAGGTAACGGTCACTGAGTCGCTACATCGGTTACTGGCCAAAAATTCACCTTGGGTCTGGGGGAAGTTTGAAGCTGACGCATTCAACACAGTGAAAAAACTCCTATCCGCGGACAGTTTCCTGATTCAGTATAATGCGACGCTACCACTTGTTCTAGTCTGCGATGCGTCCCCCTTTGATGTGGGAGCCATATTGAGCCATAGGCTACTGAATAGGCTAGAGGCACCCATGTGGCATACTACTCATGAACCCTGTCCAGCGTGGAACGGAACTACATCCAGCTGGACAGGGAAGCCCTCGCAGCAGTGTCAGGGGTCAAGAAATTTCACGAATATCTATTCGGCCGACATTTTGAATTGGTCATGGACCATCGTTCATTTTTGGCCCTCCTGGCTGGGGATCGGCCCACCCGCGCTGCCTTGTCTCCACATATGACATGGTGGACCATATTCCTGGCAGCTTACTCCTACCAACTTGTCCACTGACCGGGACTGAGTCTGGGACATGCTGATGCCCTCAGCCGCTGCCCGCTACCAGACCTCTTAGAAGACCCAACCCCGGAGGCACCAGTTCTCCTTATTGATGTTTTGAACTCGGGCCTCTTACTTCAATGGAAGTAGCAAGAGCCTCAGCTAAAGACCATGTGCTGAGAACTGTCATGAGTTGGGTCACGAGGGGTTGGCCAGCAAAGACGGAGGGCGGGGAATTCAAAGCATTCTTTACTAAATAAAATGAACTGTCTATGCAAGGGGGTTGTTTGTTATGGGGTGACTGCGTCATTGTGTCCTTATGCTTAAGGGAAAAAGTTTTAAAACTGTTACATGAAGGGCACCCAGGAATTGTACGAATGAAGGGTCTAGCTAGGAGCTATGTATGGTGGCCACAAATGGATAATGACATCACCGAGTGGGTGGGGAAGTGTAACCCCTGTCAAGAGTCCAGGCCAGATCCCCCCACAGCACCGGTCAGGGAATGGGAGCATCCCCAGGGGCCCTGGTCAAGGATTCACATAGATTTCGCAGGGCCTTTCCATGGCCAAACCTTTATGGTGATCGTCGACGCCTTTTCAAAGTGGCTCGAGATCATTCTCATGCCATCCATGACTGCCGAAGCAGTCATAAAGGCACTCTGCAAACTCTTTGCCACCCATGGGCTGCCCGACACCCTAGTGTCAGATAACG